AATGGTTTTTGTGCAGTAATTGGGTAATATAGAGTGCTTTCCTTTCTTAAAACCAACAGATATTCCAAATGGTAAATTCTTTGCCACTTCCAGAGCCAAGTTATAGGTAAGGTTTGACTCAGAAATGGTCATTTAAACACCTTTTAGAGTTACAATCGCCTCAGAAAGGGTACGTTATGGCTTATAAAGCTGTTCCGGCTGTCATAAAATCTCTCTCCCCCTCTCCAGTCATATGGTTACATTTGGGTTTGTATGATGCATGTATGAACCAATCATACATGTGAGCCATTTGCAACTGGTTCCAGCATCCCATGGTCATGTGACTGCGATTTGGCACTTTTGGCTAGTTTCTGGCAAAAAATCTATTCTGGGTAGAATAGATTTGGAGTTGGACCCAAGGTACACTTAAAGACTGTTGTAAAAATGGTTATAAATGGTCACGAGTGCCTTGACTTCACACCTTGACAATCAAAATTGTGGTTCCACTTGTGGTCGTAAGTCGAGAACTATCTACATTCTCTTTTGGGTTATGCGACATTATGCAAAGTGAAGAAAGGAAGCAAGAAATGGTAAGTCAAAGAAATTAAGGACATGAGACAAGAGAAAGAAAATTAAATATGTTGACATTGCTACATTAATTACCAGCAGAATTTTTAAGCCCTAGATGGCTTGGTGCCTGCATACTTAACCAGAATTAATGAGTCTGGTATTCAACCTGTGTCTCCATCACACACGAAGTTAAGGGAATGGCAGGCCGGAGACTAACCTTCTCAGATATGGTCTCATATTGTGAAACAAATTACCCACTGAGATAAAGATATCTCAACCTTATTTTGAGATCCATTGATCTGTCTGGTGGACTTCAACTCCCAGAATTCCTGAGCCAGCATGGCTCAGCTTGAAAACCTCTCTCTTTCCCCTCAGCATGGCTGGCTCAGGAATTCTGGGAGTTGAAGTCCACGAGTCATAAAAGAGCCAAGGTTGCCTACCCCTGGTCTAGACCATTTTAAGTTTTCTTTCATAACATCGGCCTGGCTGATTCAATCCTGCAGGTGCCTTCCATTAAACAATGCCACCTCTCAGGATCCCAGAAGTCTGTCTCTTTATAGCAGTGGCTGCCTCTGGAACAAGGTTCCCTCCCTGAGATCTGGATAGCCCTCACTCTACTGTTGTTTTGTAGAGCTGTGAAGTCCTGCTCTTCACCCCGGCCTTCGCTGAGGGAGAGCAAGACGCCTCAGTTCATGACTCCTGCCATCCTTTTCCTTAATTGTCATTTTAATTTTATATCGTGCTTTCTACTTTGATTGTTGTGAGTCATCCAGTCAATTGAGAATTGGGTGGCATAAAGTTTAATCAATAATTATCATTATTCTGAAATACTCTGGGGAGAGGCAGTGGATATCAGTTTTCTTTGAAATTTTAATTGTACTTTAATTGTACTCTATTTTTATTTGGAAGTTAGATGATTTTAAAAAAATAAGCCTGCACAACTAAGTTTAATTTATACCAATACTACAATATTCACTTACACCTCTCTGTACTTTACTATCCTTGCAAGTCATTACATTTACTTCCATTACCATATACTACTTCATACATTGCCTTTAAAGTACTACGTATGTGAAACGCATCAAAGAAAAATTGACTGTTTTATTAAAAGCATACCCCCCCATTCATCTTCTTCATTAAAGAGTTTCTTCTTCGTATAGGATTGCATTAAGTGTTCCTTGCTAAGTAACTGCCTCATTTATCAACTGTTCATAGTTAGGAGAGTGATGAAAAAAATGTTACAACCAATCATCACGTTTACAACATTTGCAGGTCTCTAAAGCAAAGCTTAAATAAGTTCATAAGCACAGTTGCAGTTTCATTTAGTGATGTTTCACTTAACAACTGAGTTGCTGGTCACAAGTGTGGTCACAAAATGAGGATGTTTGTATTTGTTAAGTTGATAGTAAATTTAATTAAATTTTCTAGCATACATTTTACTTCCATAAATACTTTGTAAGGCATCAGGATAATTTCATACATCAGTTCAGACATACTTTTAATTCTAGTCTAAATTCTGATGTTATAAATCTCCTGTTTTAAAGCAAATATATTTAGGCATCTATATTGAGAAAATGTACTTCAAAAGAAAATCTATTTTAAACAAATGACAGATTTAATCAACTCTCTTTATTTACATAGAAATATGTGTACACACATATTCTGTATTTGTACACATACATTTCTAAGTATATATACATTTATAATTTCCACATACTCTACGATAAACAATCTCATTTTGTATTTAAAGTAGCTACAGAATTGGGTAAAAATACAAGTTCAAAAATAACAGCTTACAACTAAATTACAAAATCACCCAATAATGAACTCATAAATTTTAGCAAGAAATCCTAGCTTATATACAGCCAGATCTAGACCACATGATACAAATGTGAACTAGAATTTTTAGTTAAGTTTTTAGTTTAGTTTCTTATTTGAGAAGAAAAAGCTGGGGGGGGGGGGAATTAATTTGGCAAAACTCTTCAAGACAAAATAGGGAAATGATCAAGTTTTTGACATGTAAATAAAAACAAACACATTTCCAAACTCTTAATTTCTAAGACCATTTCTTTCTTTAAATAAAATGATTTTGAGCATACATGTTCCTGCTGAACAGCATGGATGGAGATAGGAACCAACTAGGTATATAAATGCCTGGGATATGCTGATTGGGAGGTGCTTATAATGCAATCTGGAGTTCCTCCTTGCTGATAATCATGGGAAAATATCAATTTTCCCCAGATAAAATCCTGGACAGGAAGCCTTCTGTGTCAGACATGTAGGTGAGATAGCTGCTAATATTATCAATATTAAATAATATGGAATGGGCTACTTTCTCACTACATGCCAAATTACATTTCCCTACTAAAATGGCTGATTGTAACAAAAGCAAGTCTAAGGGTCTGGTCCTTACATTATCAGAAACCAGCTATTTTCTCTCTTTACTGCTCCTTGATCTTTTGGCAAAGAAATCTCATATTACACACCCTGAGTGCAGACGCCACTGCCATCATAAATTTATTCCAAAAACTGTTTGAATCTTTAATCTTATCCCTCAAATATGATTGTAAATTTATTGAGTATCTTATTATTCAAGCTGCTAGAGTTTGTCACTCATTTTTCAAAAAATAGCATAATAAAGTGAAACTGTTTGCCAGTCTGCCTCTGAATGTGGCTAATAACGTAATCTCCTATCTTCTATGCACAGAAAACCTTTGAATTCCAAATGTAGCTGAGTGATGTTTCATGCAATGTGAAAATTGTTTATCACTTTTCTTGCAACAATGACTTCTATCTCTTTCTATAGGTAGACATGCTAGAATCTGCTGTATAAATACTTGGGTGATGTATCATCACGTGTAACAATCCCCAAATGCACAAAGGTTCCACAGTTTATATGCCTCTTTCGTTTGGTTTGTCTTGGAGATGAGGAGAATGAGGTTCTCAGAAGTACAAGGGTTAGTGAGAGTGACAATTTCCATGTATCTGAGGTCTTCTTTTTCCTCTTCTTTCTCTTCAACTAAGCTCCAGAAAATGTAGAGCAGTTTTGTGAATGGGTAGATGCGAGGGGGAAAAAAGAATCTATTTCTGCCTCTGGGGGAAAAAAATGATGGATATAACTGAATTTTCTCTGAGACAATAGTTCCTTGGCAAAAATTTAACCATTTTAATTGGAGGATTGAGATGACACTATCTTATTGATGAAGCCTACCAGGTCTGAGATAAGTGAATGCCTAGATCACCTGGTTGCAGTCAACTGATTCATATCAAAGGTAAAATGAAAGTATTTACATAAGCGAATCTTATGTAAAAGATTCGTTTTGAAAAGATTCACTGCTTTGAAAAATTAAACAAATGTACAAGGTCTGGAATTTTAGCCAATGAAAGCAAGGTGGTAAAGATCTCATTATAATTTTATATTGGGTTTCTTCTTTAATAGGTTTTCTATAATGGTCCTGGCAAGCGTTTATGATACTAAAAAGCCAAGTCCATTTGTAGAGGGAGATTATTATCCACTGCTTCATTATCTCAATGAAATCAGTGTTATACTTTATTGCACTGAATGAAAACAATCTCCTTTAGAGACCTTGTGATTTTAATTTTAGTATGCTTTCAGAATGGCAAAATTGGTAAGAGACCCCAATTTCTGAATTACATGAATAGATTAAGGACAAACTAGTTTAAATAAGAACACATTTTCCTCAATATTTTTGGATTAAATGGATATTTCAGTAGAATTCTGTTCTATTAAACTATGTGTTTTTTCTACCCACTGATTTTTAAAACAAAATCCCTGTGTTCACTACTTTTTATGACTGAATAAATGGCAGTGTGTGCAAATCTGTATAGTGGGCAACATATCCACAGAACACTTTTATCCAGTTCTTTGCTCCTGTTACGTGTACTTTACCTATAGATATAAACATGGCTTTAGAGGTGTGCAACTGATCTACCCAATTGTTACATAAAGGGCACAGTTCTGTCAGATTACAGCTAGAATGGTTGTAGATATTTAATAAGCAAATAATATTGCTTGTGAATGATTCATTGACGAACCGATTATGCAAATCTCATAGAAATTCTTCTAATTTTAAACTCCTATAGAATTTTTGCCTAAGTTTTAAGCAAAATTCATGGCAGCACATCTGAGAGATTTCTTTCCCTGAATGTTTCTCCCTAACATCATAAAAACAGTTTAGCTAATTTCAGAATCCATGTTGATAACGTCTCTGCATGTTAGAGAGCCTTTGACAAATTTGCTGGCACTGGCAGTTTAATATTCCTAAAATGCTAACAAAGAATGTTTTTTCTAATACTACCAGCTGAATCTGCTGTTGCAGCAAGTCTTAGTAAGAGATCATTTGTGTCTCTTCCTTGCAAAGAATTTGGCTTTTCGCACTTATCTATATACTATTAATATTTGATAAGATCTGACACAATGAGAAATTAAATACAAATACTGTACTGTGAAAAAGTGATATTTTGATTTTCGGATATTGAAATATTTATGATAACAGCAAAACCTTCAGGCTGGTCCACTCATTTGGTAATTCATCATGAAATTACAACTGCATGGCCAAATAGAGACTCTGATCTGAAGTCTTATGACAATGTTACATGGTGCTTGATCATGATGGCTCAATGACATATGCAAGTTGCTATATGATGTTCTAGTCACCAAGTGAAGAACATGCATGGATGAACCAGCCCACAAGTGATAATTTTCCTTTAGGGAGAAGAAAGCTGCTTAGTTAACCTGATTAGGAACAATGCCTTAAGAAATTTAAAACTAGAATTTCAGACAGATTTTTTTTTCTGAATATAACAGTCATTGAAGAAGAGAGAGTACATCATCCAGAGGATAAATATGGTGTCTCACTGTGGTAGTTGTAATCAGGGCAGACCTTCTGCACTAGTTTGTAATCAACACTGTAGAAAGCAATGTAAATACAGATGACCTTAAATGGTTTAGAACATAACCAGGATACATGGCTTTGGGTCTGCTCTTGGTAGCAGATTTTTGAAGGGTCAAAGTTACACAATGCAGTTTTCTTAGCCCTATCAGTTTTCTCATACTCAATTCGGCAGTTGAAAGACTTTGATTCCTTAGTCTCTAGAGTTGATTGAGGGGAAGATTCAAATTCCACCACCTTGGAAGGCGGCACCAGGCTTACAGAAACATTTCCAAGGCCTGTTGAATTGTGCCGGAAATAAACACTAAAGGTTCCATTGCCATGATCAACAATCTTCCCCGTTATCAGAAGATTCAATTTCACAGTTTTGATGTTAGAATGGAAGTCACCCCATCCAAACATTTTTTTAAACTTTCCAGTTTTCACAATTGGTCTGCGTTTAGTTCGTGCAAGAGATTCCTGAACTTCAGTGATATTGGATAACCAATCCCAAAAGTTGTCCATGTTGTCTGAATATGACATCCGCCCATGTTTCATTGTTGGAGAGGGCTTCACAAAAAGGCGTAAAGGATTGATGATCCGAGAATGGACTCCATTAGCAACCAAAGTGTCCACAGCATCTTTATCCTCCCAGTCCAATACGTCTGTGGTCTGGATGACTTGCTTAGCATCACAGAATATCTGTTTCGAAAGAGAAAAGAATTTCAGAAACAGAAATATGGTTTTGATCTAGATATTAATACTGATATCTAATATTGATCTATATCCAACATATAAATATGTAAGAAACCAGACCATTCGAACTACCAATCAACAAGAGAACCAACCAGCTTTTCAGAATTTAAATATAGCTCCAAACGAACAACCAATCACATGACCAACTGACCAACCGGCACACAAGACATTTATAAGCTAAGGAGAATAGGCCAAGAAGATCCTACTGATGGTGTTACCTAGTCTGGTAAAGAAACATTCAGAAACCAAATTGAAAGAAGCTTGGAGAACAAACCACTTGCCGAAATCTAAAACCCGAGCCCCGAGTATTTTCTATTATATGGTATTTTTTATCACTGCTTTCTTTACAGAAAAAAATACAGAGACGTTTACAACATTGCTGAGCTATTATACAATGCTCGGATTAACTGAGCTTGGATTCTACTCAAATGTTATTCCTCTCTTTATAACTGTCAGAGCTGTGAATCTTCAACAACTCACTTGATAATGAATCAAATTATTTATGTTTCCTCCTCAAACTTTCATTAAGAACTATTTCACCTTCTCTTCATATAATCTTATGATGTAAACATGTGAGACTATTCGTTTTCTTTTTGTATCTATGTATTTTAGATTACAAGCCATTACTATAAAACAAAAACCCCTTGAATTGTTTTACAGGAGGACTATATATACACATGGTAAATAAAATAAATATCTAAATTGGAAGTACTTCACGAATAAGTGATAGCAATCGTGAATTACTCATTCATGAATATTTTAAGAATCATAACGTTAAACAGCAGTTTTACATGCAAAGTGCATCACAAATTTTTGATAACATTCTTCTTGTACTAGTATTATAAAAAGCTTCTTTCTCTTTTCAAAAAATATTTTGTAAATTTATTTATTTATTTAAGAAAATTTCTATGGCCGCCCAATTCACTCTCAGTGATTCCGGATGGCTTACAAAGATAAAAACCTAATATAAAAATAATAAATGCAATAATCCCCCCCGCAGTGACAACAATCAGTCTATCCATAAGCCGCTTGATGGGTTCCATCCCACTCTGTGTTCCCCAGGCCCATTGGCAAAACCAGGTATTCAGGGCCTTGCAAAACAGTGTCAAAGCAAGCGGTGTCATGGCCACCTCAGAGGCCAGTTCGGAGGAGGAGGAGGAAGAGTTGGAGCTGGGACCATCCGACAGGGAAGGCACACCAGGGGCTGAGGACGATGCTGTCCTGGGCCCCTCAGGCATTGGGGGAAGTAGTCAACCAGACGAGAGCTGCCTGCTTGCACACAGGAGAGGATCTGACAGGCAGTGGTGCTGATAGGCAGTCAATCTCCTCTGATGAGAAAGAGCTGCCTACTCCACTTGATCCAAGGGCAAGGAGAGTGGAGCATAGGCAAGCTCAGAGAAGAGCTGCAAGGCTACTCAGGAGGAGGTTGTCCCACCCCTCCTCACAAGGAATACCTGGAGGAAAATAATTTAAGGAGAAGACATGGGGAGTTAGCCTTTATCAGGAACAATTGTTTGTTTTGGCTTACACTCCCCCGGCTTTTACTTGTGCCTGTTGCTGTTTGCCTTGCCTCACTTGGAAGATTGCTCTTCCCATTTTGTTTTGGATCTTGCCCTTCTCTGGTGGCTCTGTTTGGCCTTCGCTTCACTGGGGCTTTGGAACTGCTTCTTTTCTGGGACCTGTTTCTTGTCCTGAGGACTGCCCTGGTCTTGTGCCTGGACCCTGCCTGGTGGATTGGACTTGGAACCCTGGACCTTGCCCTGTGAACGTTCATTGGTTGGAAAATTGGTTAAGAGAAGTAAAGAACTCTCTAGAGCAGACATGTCAAACTCGCAATGTAACGTGATGTCGCACAACGTTATCGGGATGGTTTTGCCATTGCCGGCAATGGGGTGGGCGCGGCTTCCGGATGACACATCCAGCCCGTGGGCCGGCAGTTTGACACCCCTGGTCTAGAGGCCTGCCTTGCCTTGACCACCTGGGTCATAACTGAGGACAATCTTATCTCCATGGGAAAATATTCCATAGGGAGGCAACCACCACAGAGAAGGCCTTTCTTCTTGGTCTCCCTGGATGTATCTCTTTAGGAGAGGGGACCCATAACCTTCTCTGCCTCCCCGCTCTAGTAAGTTTGGTAGATGTGACCAGGGAAATATGGTCCTTCAAATAACCTGGTCCCAAACCATGTAGGGCCGGGGGTGTCAAACTGCTGGCCCGCAGGCCGGACGTGTCATGAGGAAACTGCGCCCACCCCATTGCTGGCAATGGGGGAAAAGTTCCGATACGTCGTGCGACGTCACGAGTTTGACATGTCTGATGTAGGGCTTTGAAGGTGACAACCAGCACCTTGAATTGGACCCAGAAGCAAATTGGCAGCCAATGCAACTCTCACAGGAGAGATGTCACCTGTGTACATCTAGGCCTGCACAAAACCACATGGGCTGCTGCATTTTGAACCAATTGAACCTTCCGGATACTTTTCAAGGGCAGCCCAATGCAGAGTGTGTTGCAATAGTCAAGATGGGAGGTGACCAAGGTTGTGAGTGACTGTGAGCAGGGACTAAACAATACTTACTTAACATTGCTTAAGAGTTACTAAATATTATTTATTGCTTCTATATAATTTTGTTACTGTTTCTATATGACAACATACCTTCTGTATTTATCCAATCACATTTAAATGTAAGGGTTTAGGCTCATAAAACTTGGGTAGTGAAATGATATGCAATAAAAGAGGAGGGATACTATATTATTGAATCATTCTGCTTTTCCAAAACGCTAGAAATACCTCTGTCCTGAACTGAGAGATGATTAATAGTGAAATACAGCAGACTTAAATTGTTTTACTAGTCAACTTGTCCTAAAACTGGGCTAATTTTCTTTTTTTTAATGAGGATTGGATTAATCATTTTTCTGTATGTGAACTGCAGCATTTTCAGAATTATGGTATTTAGAAAGGGTGTATTATTTAAAATATTAATGGATTTTGTGATTTAATTAATGCTTATTCTAGGTCAATCTAACTGAATATTTATAAGAATATTTTTATTACTGTTTCATCTCTTATTAAAATGATTGTAATTGTTATCACAGTGTATTCTTATGTAAACTAGCATACTATGTGTGTCTGCATTAATATCCAAATAAATGTTTTATTTGCAATTAAAGAATACAAAGCAATATTCTTGTCACATGGAATTTTCCAAGTTCCTTAATTAAAAATCCTTCCTTCATACAATTTCTGTTCATTACTATCTTCCAGTCTTTAGAAGGCATATGAAAAATCATTTCAGTTTCTATAAGGCTTTTCAATTTTATCCTGAACTTTTTACTCAGAGTCCTCAATAGTTTACATTTTTCAACGTTTCAATGTATATTTTACAGCTCTTTCCCCCCCCCCACTTCTACTGCCTCACGACACAAGCAAATTACAAAATGAGGTTGACACCTGATATTGAGAGAAGATAATCAGGTATATTTCTTTTTCTTTTCTTTTATACTATGCAGACTTGCCTTAGATCAGGGGTTCCCAACCTGGGGTGCAAGAAGATATACCAAGGGGTGCGAAAACTTGGGTTTTCAAAATTATAGTGTATGTGCATAATTCGTTGCCGTTATTTCAAACTTTTGTAAGGGGTGTGAGAATATATCAGAAGTGTTCTAGGGGTGCAGGGTAGAGAAAAAGTTGGAAGCCGCTGCCTTAGATCAGTGGTTCTCAACCTTTTTAATGCCGCAACCCCAACCGGTCGTAAGTCGAGGACTAAACCGGTCGTAAGTTGAGGACTAAACCGATCGTAAGTCGAGGACTAAACCGGTCGTAAGTCGAGGACTAAACCGGTCGTAAGTCGAGGACTACCCAACCGGTCGTAAGTCGAGGACTTTCCCTGCCCGGGAGCACCGCGAATGTGTGGTTCTGCCCCCTGCGCCGGCCGAGGCGTAGCTGGCAAGCGGCAGAGACGGAGCAGGCCAACCACCAGCTGGCCCAGCCCAAGGGAGGTAAGGCACCCGCCGGAAAAGGGGAGAAAATGGCGGACAAAAAAAATGGCGGACAAAAAAAATGGCGGACAGCCTTGCTTGGCGACCCCCGTGAAATGGTCGATTGACCCCAAATGGGGTCTCAACCCACAGGTTGAGAACCACTGCCTTAGATAAACAGCAATATGATATCAAATTCTACTTGGAGTGAGTTTTAGTCATGTTAGTGCATAATCAAAAGTATAATCTGGTTGGAAAATGACCCTGTCCTTATTTCTCCCAAGGCGTCTTTGTTAAGAGGTAAGCAAAACACTTTCAAGGTATATTCTTGGCACATAATGTACATTTACACTATTTCCCCTTCTACAAGTAAATGTTTCAAAACAATTTCCTTAATGTATGTGTTGAATATGGCTGCCCATCACACCATAGCAGCTGTATATGACTAATAACGTACAATAGCACAATGCAAAATCATATAACATAGGATAACATTAAAAAAAACCTATAAAGGCAGTAGCGGTACAGAAAACAATGTATCATCAATTCAGGACTATGAATAGGTTCTAACTAATTGCCCAGACCACAAGCCTGGGAACACATCCATGTCTCGAAAGACTTCCAAAAGCCCAACATAAGCAGATAGACTAAAGATACACTGAAAACTTGTTAGGCTTCCACAAATCGATGGATTAATGAATCTGATTTAGGAAAATGGTGATATTATCTTGTCCAGATCTGATAATTACCTTAGCTTAGGACTGATTATGATTTCAAACAATTTTGCTGAATGTTATTGATAAGTGAAAACGTGTGACTTAAAGAGAAAGCCAACCTTGCCTGATGAGAGACTTGCTTATTGTATTAATGCTTTCTTCCAGTTCCAAAATGTTAGCCACAGGATTATTCTCCATGAAAAAAAAAATCTATCATTTAATAAAAAGTACTCTTCATGAGGGAGTTTGAGATGATCTATACCAGTGGTTCTCAACCTGTGGGTCGGGACCCCATATGGGGTCGATCGACCATTTCATGGGGGTCGCCAAGCAAGGCTGTCTGCCATTTTTTTTGTCCGCCATTTTTTTCCTTTTCCGGTGGGTGCCTTACCTCCCTTGGGCTGGGCCAGCTGGTGGTCGGCCTGCTCCGTCTCTGCCGCTTGCCAGCTACGCCTCGGCCGGCGCAGGGGGCGGAACCACGCATGCGCGGCGCTCCCGGGCAGGGAAAGTCCTCGACTTACGACCGGTTGGGTAGTCCTTGACTTATGACCGGTTTAGTCCTCGACTTACGACCGGTTTAGTCCTCGACTTACGACCGGTTGGGGTCGCGGCACTAAAAAGGTTGAGAACCACTGATCTATACAATGAAGG